AAACAATGCTTTACGTAATGTTGAATATTTTAYATGTGTGTTACTTCCTGAGCTCAAACGTTTTCTCAATTGTAAATATCTGTCTRTTTTGCAAAACCTATTTGCATACTGTACATGTGTAATTTAAAGTAACTTTTTTAAATTGTGACATTTTTGCAAGTCTTTTCCTAACTCCGACAATATCGATATCACCTGCAATTACTCTAGTACAAATCAGCGGTAGCAACGAATTTTCCAGCATTTATATTTTCACATTTTTGGGTGATACATATGCATGTGACAATACAACCTCTGTGGTCAGTCCATTGACTAAATTCAAGAAAGTGACTTCATTCTTTGCCGCGTTAATACTTATATAAGCAGCTGGATTAGTCACTACTTTCCCGTCGACTTTCACCGTCCCTGGAGCTTTTCCTAGCGACTTATTATCAAGACGCAATGATACGGTAATGCTTGTACTCTTCCCTTCCACACAAAACATCATCTTTGCTCCCACCTCATCCGAGTTCTTGGGACTAAATTTGTCTGGGATATCTTTACGTCCTTTTCGCGTGCATCTGTCTTTGTCTTTGACTGCTGGGTCATCTTGGAAAGTTATTGCTGGATTACTCACTGCTAAGTAAAGCTTCGATGCTCCATGCTCCGCCATTATCATACAAGGAGCACTTGCCCGGTGGACTGGCCCAGAGCTGATKGACTCTGTTGCTTTCTGTGCTTCAAATATTGAATAGCTAAAGACTTTAGTGGCTGTATTAGGTAGATCTGCCATGCTACTAAATTCCACAACATGGGCTTTCCCACTGGCCTGAATAACTTTGTATTTCGAAAATAGATTTAGGTTTCCTCCTTGAATGACAATTGCGTATTCATAAGAGCTTGTTTCMCTAGCAATTGTATAATCCTCGTCGTTTTGCATTTCTTCTGTTTCCATGTTGGTTAATGAGTCACTTGCTAGTGACGAGTTATAATACGCATCATCGATTGCCTTTGGTATCTCTTCGACATTTTCTTCATGATGTTTTGAATGTTTAGCTTTTTCAATTGCAACTTCCATGACTTTGTTTATCTTGTTGTAATAAATTTTCTTTTCTTTTAACTTTAGTTTTAACTTTTTTCCGTATCTGGCATTTTGTTTGCTCTCAACGTTTGATTCGATTCCATTAACTTCTTCTTTATTGTCTCTGTCTTCTTTCTCAGGGCTGCCTTTCTGTACCTTAGTATTAAAATCGTTTCTGGTTTTTGATAATTCTTCTTTTGCGCCTATAACTTTGTCTTTCARGACTTTATCGTGGTGGACGTTGTTTGTGTTAGTTTTTTTCTTAGTGGATTTCTTTTTACTATTCAGATTATGGAGATTTTCTGGTTTCTGTTTTGCAGTATTGCCGTGATTTTCATCTTTATCCGTATCCTCCATTGTGTTAATGTGCGTCTTCTGSTTGTTCTTAGACACTCTAGATACGGTACCTGCTAATGGCTCTGGCTCAACAGTATGCTCCTTATTTTTATTAGCTCGTGCATTCACATGAGTATTTTGGTATTCACCATCTTCAAAGTTATCATGTCTTGAGTTTAATGGAGTTTCCTCACGTTCAACATGGCCATCGTTGTTAGTTMTTGCATTAATGTGTAACTTTTGGTGTTTATCTTGCTTATCGTTTTCACTATTTGAGCTAACTTGCGTCTTTTGGTACTTGCGATGAAAAACATGGTGGTTTTCAGTGCTTGCAGTATCTTGGGTTTTTACAAACTTAACATGCTCATCGATATCAGTGCTTGCGTTAACTTGCGTATTTGGGTGTTCAAATTTATCATCGATATCAGCACTTGCGTTGACTTGCGATCTTGGCTGTTCAACATTATCATCAATATCAGTACTTGCGTTTACTTGCGTTTTTTGATGTTCAACATTTTCATCGTTATCAGGGCTTGCGCTGACTTGTGTCATCKKMTSAYTMKCATTCTCATCTTTATCAGTGCTTTTGTTAGCTTTCGTTTTTTGATGTTCAACACGCTCGTCTTTGTCGTCATTTACGTGCTTATCAGCGTTTAAATCAACTTGTGTTTTTCTTTCTTCGCCTTCATCATTATCAACTTTTGCGTTTTCAAAGTGTTTGGCGTTAGCATTAATGTTAACTTTACGCCCTTTGATATTATYAWMTCTATCGGCGCTTGAATGCTGGTCAGCATTATCATTGACATTGTTATTCAAAGTGGCATTAACCTGCTTGCTTTCCTCGTCAACGATATTTGGGCTTAACTGCCCGCCCTCGTCTTCATTCACATTTTCTTGAAATTGTCTATCGGCATTTTCATTTTTTTCTTTGATTTTATTCTTAAAATGCTTAATCGACTCTTCTGCCATGTTTTTCTTAGAACTCGGAAGTTGAATTGACTTTTTCTGCATATCGGTATTTACGCTTTCCAAATCTTCTTTTTGAGTTTGTACGTTAGTCTTTTCCTTATTTGGYAGCTTGTCATCGTACATTTTATCGATATCAATATTCGTACCTATGGCTTCATCCCCTGACTCCTTGTCTTCATGTTTCGTATATTCATTTTTGGGTGTTTCCTGACTTGCAACTATGTCCGCATCTTTATTGTCTTTCCTCTTGGATTTTTCTCGTCCATCTTTGATGTTCTCTCCGTCTAACGAGCTCTTGGTGTTATGAGCATGCGTGGTACGTTCTCTTGAGTATTTACTTAGTCTGCTTGTACGTTCTTGTTTAATACTATTATGAACGATGTAACTGTGACCAGTTTCTACTGCTGAATCATCATCATAATCAATGTCTGTTCCAAGACCATCCATCTCCTCGTCGTTGAAATACCCTCTGTCATCGTCAGTATCAGTGATACTTGTATTCGAGAAGTGGTCAACGTCTGAAGTTTCGGGATTTCCTTCATCAATATTAGTTGTATTCACACGGTTCCATTGTTCAGCACCCATAACAGAATCATCAAGATCTTCATCTTGATCTTTGTTGACAACTTCCATTTTGGGATCAGAGTCGGGATTGATATTAATACCATTTACGTACATATCATCATTGGTTTCCGTCTTGTCATTAGTTTTATTAATCATTTCAAGTTTTTTAGTTTTATTAATCATTTTAAGTTTTTTAGTTGAGTTGTTGATAATTTTGCTTTGATTTTTAGGCAGCTTTTGAACGCTCTTCTTCGCATGTCCTTTCTTAATATTTGATATCTTTTTCTCAGTATCTTTTGGCCTCTCATCTTCTCCTGAATGTACATTGATGTTTCCCGCAATATTTTGGTCTTTGAAAGTCATTGCATTTATGTTCTTTCTGTATTTTTTTACTTTCAAAATATAAGGTTCTTCTTCAGTTTTCAGTTTTCTAAATTCGTTGTTCCTTTGTTTCACTGTCTGTGTTTCAAATTGTTTTGGTGTTGTCTTCTTTGCTAATGATACGACTGTAGTAGTCCCACAAGATAGGGCTTGCTTTTGTTTATGTTCGAACCAAGCAGTTGCATATCTTCCTTTAGTCTTTTCACATCCTTGCGTTTGTACAGATTCTTGGTCCAACACTTCGACGTTTAGTCCTTGTGATTTAGCAGTTTTAACTTGGTAAGTATTTCCAGTGGTATCCACAAGTCTTATTGTTTTGCCTGTGGTCCATCTGTATTGCCTTTTGAGAAGTAACCTCAAATCATGTTTGTTTGAATCAATTGTTATCGTAGTAGGTTTGGTTGGATCTTGTAGTTTGTCTTGAAACAGCGTTGTCTGTGCATAATAGTTGTCTATATCCCTATTCTTGAATTTGATATCACTTCCCAAACATACAATAAGGTCGTTATAGAAGAAATATGACTTTTTAAACTCAAATTCCATGGTGCCCATTGGGGAAGCTTTGTTTTTCATCACATAGTCAGGTTTTTTWAAAAACATACCAAAAGCCCCATTCCTGGGATTGCTGCCAACTGATCCAGTAAAACTCACTCCTCCKGCAAAGTGGCCTGGGTTATAATTACGAGCCTTGCCTAATACAATATTGACTAGCTCTGCTTTAATTGTTGTTGTGCCTGGTACTCGTGTCCAATCCCAACCATCGCTCACATTATTACGTGCTACAGTAGCTTCGCTGTTTGAGATTTGTAGAGAGCCATGGCTTGCAAATACACCGAAAATATTCTCCTTTGGACTGCTTTCGTAATCCCATATGTACCTATTAAATCCTTTAGCGGCAACAGTCCAGTTATTACGCCTATGAACAGAAAGAGCAGCAAAGTTCTTACTCCAGTGCCCAGATGGGGAACTTTCAGCAGTGCATTGACTTGAGCAAGGTAATATTGAAATCTTTTGAAATACATCGATTTGTCCAATGGTGTTCCAGTAGTATATACCAGACTGTATAGTGCCATCTTCGAGATATGCTTTAACAGGTGGTTCATTATGGTCGAATAAACGAAGAAACATATCTCGTCCGTTGGCTTTTTCTGTTGTTCCTGTCTTTTCATAACTAATGTATGCATAAGCAACGAAATGCTGTGCAAGAATGACATTCCTATAACCTGGAAAACGACCACCCATACTGTTTGGAGAAGAATATTTCACGGCTATTATACGCATTACTTTCAAAGCTTCTCTAAGATTATCTTTTGACGTTCGATCCAACTTGAAAGAAGACGTGACTTCTAGAAGGTACTGTATCAGCGCTGCGTTATGAAGTGCATGTGGTACATAAGCTGATCCATAGAATGTCTTGTGGTGGAAACCAGTATAGTCTGGTTTGATCAATCCTCCCAGTCCTTTATTAATAGCAAGAGCCCGTTTCATCCATACCGTGAAGTGTCCCATGTCCCTCACCTTGTTTTCTTTGTTTGTATTTGGTGTRATAAGAATTATAATCAGTCTGAACAAAGATATTGTTCGCATACGATCCGCTGTTGTTCCATTATAGATATAGTTACTTTCTTGTTGGTAGATTTCATTAAAGTCATTATACCATTTCATTGTCCTAAGAAGTCTACTCAGCAATGCCGCATTTTCAGTCTTTCTTAAAACATGTCGAAGTAGAAACATCGAGTGCATAAAACCAGAACCCGCTTTGTTCATCTCGTGGTCTAAGGACCCCAATCCACTTCCCTCAGCCCAACCTTGATTTTCCATGTATACAAGAAGCTTTTTAATTCTCTCCCATCGTACTACCTCGTTATAAACATTTATCAAGTCCGCAGCACTGAGCTCTTCATCCGATCGACTTGAAGCGCAGTTGAGTTTGTTCTTATACGTTTGTAGGATTGTTTGGAAGTCTCCAACCAGCATCTGATCGTCCCCTGTAATTTCCGTTATTGCACGAAGCATTGTTAAATAATCAGTGGACTTTAAATTGGTACAAACTTTACTCGCCAGTGCATTAACTTCTGCTGGTCTACTCATAAAATTGTACTCAAGAGAGAGTGGAAGAAGAATTCTTGCAAAGAAAAATCCAAACTTTGACATACAATTTGGATCATCAGTGATGTCTTCCACCCCAAGTTCTTCCACCTTGGAAAATAGCGGAGGGCGATTGTGGTTAAAGTCAATTTTGCTGTAATAAGTATTTGCTGCTTCGATATCCCTTTGCAGAAACTGCCATCGCTTTTTCTTCAATGCAATAAAGTCGATTCCACCATCAGGGTCCATAGCCATATCCACTGCAAAGTCATCATACTTTGTTACTGTCTTAAGGGTTTCGTCTTCCTTTGCATACCAGTTTTGTAGTTGGGTTTCAATGGCTTGGATTTCAGAAAGTTTTGCGTCAACATTGGTAACTGGAGTGGTTGATCTTGGGGCCCCTTCCAAGTGCCATCGCAATGATTGTTGCCAAAAATCTTTATCGTCATAAAACATTGGATCGTTGGAACGACCAGAAGAGCCAACTTTTTGTACAATAAGATCCCTTGACTGTTTTCGTAGAGACGGAACAAATCGTACCGCATCGAAGTAAAGTTTATCAGCTTCCGTTGTCGTGATCTTGAAGTCGACATTCGTGATTGATGCAAATGGTGTCATTTCGCTTCCAAACTCTTCGTAGCCAATCCAAACACCTCTCCACCCTTGAAAATTCAATTTTGCTGTAGTAGGAGTCGTATTGATTGGTTGCCCTGATTCGTTTTCCCCTCGAAATGTTATTTCCATTGTTGACGATGGTGTGACATTTTCATGATACATCCAAAATTTAATACCTCCTTTTTGTAATTCTTTATCTTTAAGCTTTAGTGAAAGGCCAAGTTGCACTGTAAGCTTCGGTGGAGAAGCTCCTTGATTTCTTGTACCCCACTGCCAAAGTAATGATTTGCTTCCTGTTTTATAATAACTTTGAGTTATAGCTCGAGTTGATCCCGCTGCGATGAATGCAGACATTTGGCTTGGATCTTCAAAATCGTATTCTATAAAACGATAGATAGCTCTTGTAAAAAAAGACTTTCATGAGAAATTCCTTGAGAAAGTTTAGCAGATTCTATAATGTAATTTAGTCAATTTGCAGCGATGCAATTTTGTCGGCAAAGCACGATGGTATTTGAAATCCTCGCAGTTTTCATAATCTCTAAAAAGTCCCCCTAAAAGACTTATGCTTTCTTTGTATAAACGGCAATACTTCTTTCATTTTTTATTTTTGCAAATAAAAAGCAAAACGGCTTAGARGGACTGTTCTAGTTGAAATTACSAAGACTATAATTCCCAACATGCTTTGTTGCACTAAAAGGTGTCACTGCACATTGTTTATTAGYTTGTGTCAATTACCTGGACCAGCCGATGCGGCGTGTAGAATGCCCACAACAAAAAGGAAAAAAGATGGCAAATCCATTACTCTGGATTGATGACCCTAATAGGTAAAAAAACATTTATTGAATTATTATTAACATTATATATGTAGAGTAATTTTCAAAATACAGTTTTATCAACATCAATTAGTTGAGCTTGCTAGTATAGACATGTAAGGATTGTCCTGATTTGCCACTCGTATGTTAGAAGGTATTTACAAACTATCCGATTAGTTCAAACACAAGTTGAGGCTGAGGAAGCTCGACCGAAAAGACTTTCCGCAGTCGAAGTGYTTGTGCAGTACGAGTTCCAAACTCCAKCATTTTCCATACTTTTTCCCTACTTTGGTCTTTGGTCTCAATCCTTTTATATTTCTAGACCTACATCTGATATCCTGTTTCTCAAAATTTTCTATCAAATATCTAGTCAATACTTAGACGACGGAGGGAGTGCCACGCATATAACTACAATAATACTGAATCAAAGCAGTCTATAACTGTAAAAATACATATATGTTGTTTTCCGGCTAGGAGGTCCGTATAGGAAAACACTGCCCGAGGTCTTGACAACACGGACCGAGCGCCGCCGGTAAATAACATTTTTATTTTATTTATTTGTATTTTCTGCAACTTTGCTCGCAACCTAGGTGCAGGATACCATGGACCGGGYAGATCGTGAAAAACCGGACCGCGCCCTAGACAATCAAAGCGCACGAATGACCGAGGATACCGGATCGAAAATCGAAAATTCTTAAGAAATTCATTTAAATTTCACAAATAAAACAAAACCTCCAATTTCCAGCAGGAATAGATAGGTTATATATAGTGTAGCTCATATTTATCAGTCCTTTAATTATTCACCAAATCGCACAAATGTTTGAATAACCCTATTATAATATCCAATCGATTGTTTTGCGATCTTATTTAGAGAGTGAAAATCACATAAAATTACCCATGATGCACCAAATATGGTGCTAGCGGCGATAATTTGTGCAACTGTGAGGCTGTGTGTTGAGTTTTGAAAATGAGTATTTACCTAAACTTGTCTAGTACCTGAGACGTAGGTCAAGTGGGCTGTTGGATTATGAAATTTTGTGAAAATTTTATTGTTGTGTCACTGGGCACGAGTGTTATGACTAGTTCCTTAGAAGAATGAAATAAAGACAAAGCGAGAAAGCTAAAACTCCATCATGCTGCAATAATTTCTTCTTTAAATTTCATTCAAAATAAAATCTTTAAAAATCAAATACTTTAGACTTAGTGATTTCATGCTTCTCCAAGAAAAAGAATTAAATTTTTTGAATAGTTTTCCCATCGTACAAAGGAAAAAACCTTAGTAACTTTCAAATGGTCAAGACACTCCTTTAAATATAGGTATGTAGCTATGTACATAATAGTATTCTAGGAGTTGAAAGTTTATAAAGACTACCACGATTACCTCATGGAGATTATGTTTTTAAAGTAAAGTGAAAAGACATTTTGAATAAAACTTTGTCAATATTACTTACCTTTTTGCTTTACATATATTTTAGTCAGAAGCCGTAAGTCTTTTTAAAAGTAAAATTGATGTATAGCGTACTATAAATGTTCCTGTTATTATAGAATTGTTTTGTTCGGTTAACATTGAAAGAACACTTTAATAGGGTATTATTATGATGTTTCTACAATGACAAGTTGACCGATTCACTTTCCACCTGCCAATGAAAACAAAAACACCTTGCAATGAGACGTCCTTTTTAATTTGATCGTCAACTAAATTATGGGATGCTTAAACGCTTCATTTTTACCGACATAGCCAGATGTGCACTCTTAGTGAGACTGTCAGTCCTTGTATATTATTATAATTCCTAAATAATAACAACCTCGTCAGCAGTGATTTCGCTTGTTAATATTTTTAAAACATGTCTGAATTCTTCTCTTCTCGTAGCAGGACCACAGGCAGCCCACTCTTTGAATGATTAATTAGAAAAATCTCCAAACAAAGCGAAAAGAAATTCAAGCGCGCGCTTTTTTTGTTTGATTCATTGGTGCACGTCCTTTGAACTTGTGGGTTACCTGTGTTAATACGTCACTATCCCGTGCCTGGCGGCGGATCAACCTTGTTCCCAGGGCTTCTCTGCTGGCTTTTTTTAWGGAACTGGGAGTGAGGTTGGCGGAGTTGGTTAGCGGCTGTTTGGCTTTGGATTGCTCACAAGCAGAAGTCCATTAATGGRCTCCTGTCACTAGTCATGACCATAGGCCGCCCAACTATTGCTTGAGAGAAAGCAACCTCGTTCCCAGGGCTACTCTGCGCCCAGAGATAGAAAAGAACGAATGCGCACGCGACAATTTTATGTAATCAGCGCGCTTTGTGGATTACCTGTGTGGTATTACGCCATACATGATCAGTGATAGACAAGGTTTTCTTCATGCTACATGTGAACTTGTTTTTGTTTTTAAAAACTATTCCTTTTGACACACTAAAAGACCAAGACTTCCAATGATACATGTTTACGTTACACAGTTGACTACAAAAACAAGTTAACATGTAACATGAAGTTCACAAACTCTTTATYGATCAAAGTTAAGAAAATGTCTAGAAAAAAAGACAAGGTTTTGATCCCGCAATAGTCAAGGAATCACTGATGTGATACCACAGGTAACCCGCATTTAGCTAAGAGCGCGAGCCGATAACAGTACCAGGTTCTTTTCTTTCTCTCAAGCATTAATGCTTTCCAACGTAACAGCGTGAGTTGGAAAGCGTATTCATTACGGTTCAAAGCACTTAGTCACATTTAGTGAAATATTTCATGGATTGTATTGTCAACCTCGTCCCCAGGGCCATCTCGGCCGACTCCTTTTCAAGATGGCGGTCGTCGGGGAGATGACCCTGGCGTTGGCTGAACTAAGCCACTTTCTGATTGGCTATTCAAAATGCCTTTTCTTATATCACTCATTATTGGCTGTTTATGTTCGTCTATAGGTCGGGATGTGTTCGACACTGTCGGTATGTCCGGATAACCGTTAGGTCTTTGATCGGTTATTGATTTAACCGTTACGATGCGTTCATTGTTTTTATTCAAATATTCCCGAAATTTAATTAAGGTACGTTTTGTCGATTAAAAAGCAACGATATTCTTTGGAATTCTTGTCAGTTGTCCTCTTATGTCTCTCTTGTCCAATGCGTGGTTTTGAGATGCCAACTACTCGTGTAAGAAATTTAANAGCGGATCCCTCAAGAATTCTAGAATGAACTGGATCTACTCCCGTAGGCGGTCTAGGGGTCAACACTGCCGATGACGGCAGGACGGAAGGACATTTTTCAAATAAATCATCAAAACAAAGCAAATACCGACCCACCACAGCTATCCCAGTTTGTGAAACCGTTGAGTTCACGTTTCGAGCGCCATTTTGAATAGATAAGCCACGTGATCAAAACCTCCAAAAATCTTGGAGGTTTTGATCACGTGATTCCAGCCAACGCCAGGGTCATCTCCCCGACGACCGCCATCTTGAAAAGGAGTCGGCCGAGATGGCCCTGGGGACGAGGTTGTTGTATTGTAAATAGAACCAATATATGGATTATCGATAACGTATAAAAGATTGATGAAAATATGTTTGTTCACTCTCGCTTGTTGGACGCGTACAACGCGCCAGGATACTTTCGTGTAACCKAACTTAACCGGATTTAGTGTTGTCAAGTAATATTAGTTAGTATTCTAAGCTGTTTAGCATTTTATATGTATGTATATATATGTGTTAGGTTTTCGTATTCTTATCTCGTGCTTTAGCCCTCGAAGCATTGCGTTCGCATCGGACGAGGACTACATTTTCAGAGGTTTCTCCTCCGGGTTTTTTATCTCTGTTTTTTCGTAGCGGGCAACGCAAAAGATGATTGTAAATAGTATTTTTTTTTTTTTAGTTTAAGGATGAATAAGTGGAAGGATTGTAGAATAATGAAATAAAATCTGGGTTGTCTGTCCAGCAGGCGCCAAGGCAAAGTCATACTCCAGAAAGTGTGGTTGCGTGGTTTATTGCGGGAGAATCTACGTAGCACTCAGTTGATGTAATATATTCATAAAGATATAATACAAAACACATAATACAATAGAACGAGAAACAATGGAATACAATACATTTTATGAATACATTACATCAACTGCGTGCTACGTAGGTCACCCCGGTTTATTGCGTAGAATGTCTAGAATAGGAATGAAATAGTTGCAGGTGCAATAGTTGGGTGGCCTATGGTCATGACTAGTCTCTGTCACAGATCCTGACTTAGTGCCACAGGTAATCCACATGTTCAAAGCKCACACGCTCATCGACGCAAGTAAGTAAAGCGCGCACATATGCTTTTCTCGCCCTGTTTTCGATTGTTTTTGTGTTAATTCATCAATATTTAATATTTATGAATTGATAARATAAAATACAATACATAAAATATAATGCAAGGGTTTGCTGCTTGTGGAAAGACACGCTTTTATTCTTGCTGACGCGGTCGAAAAGCATTTGAACTCTGAAAACAGGAGCCCACTACTACTGTATTGAGCGTGCGCGTTAATTTTATTAAAGCTTTTACATAAACATTGAGAAAAGAGGGTCCAGTTGTCTGACTCCAGCAAATTGTCTCTTTCTCGCTTGCAATGCGTCATGGGAAGGTACATTGGACGTAAGAGAGAGATGACCAGAGAAGTGAAAGAAGGTTTTAGCTTTTTCTCAAGAATGATGACAACAAGGTTTAAGGTTAGATTTAAGCTTAGGGTTAAGGAAATTAGGTTAGCCTGAGTATCAGGCTTTCCCGAAAGGGTTTGGGGCGGAGCGCGAAGGGCGAGAGAGCCAGACTCTCTCTCCATTCTCGCTCCRYCACAAACCCCTTCGAKAGAGTCTGATACTCAGGCTAGGATTAGGTGTTAATTAGATGTTTATTGTTTTTTTTGGCGTTTTGTTTGTGCGGATTGTTTGGYACTGGATCAAATCCTTGGGTTTCCTGTTGTTTTCTTGGGTTTCCTGTGTCTACTTATTGAAAACATAATGGCGTCAGTTAATCCTGTTGGACGAATTTGAATGGAATCCAAACATTTTGTATATTCATTCATATTYATTAAAAAAGTTCAATCTCATTTTCTATCGGGAAAGTATGAAAATAATATTTAGAACTTTSAAAATTAGTAGAATTATTATCAGCACATTTTAGGAGCATTTGCCGTATGAATTTGTCGTATTGTAAATGATCAATAAATCAATTCTCCTAACACACTGAAGAGCTAAGTTTGTCTGCTTCATTGTGAATTGACGAAAAGTTGTTAGAAATATTTGGAGTTTTTACATTATTATGTATTGAAAATTGTTTATTTTTCGTTCCTCAAAACATGGATATTGATTGAGGATTGTTGTTGTGGCGAAGGAATCTGCATTTTACACTATTTCAAAGTTCAACAAGCAAACGGTAAGCACGAGTTGTGGTGTGTTKATGACAAAATGGCGGCCATAACGCTCAACTTGTAAATTGTMAAAATTACGAGAAACCTTTCATATTATCGTAAAGAAACAGCGTTGAACAACCTCAGTAATTTCGAAAATGTATTCATATGCTGTAACTGCTACAATCAGTYAGAGAAACATATTAACTTATACAAGCCTGATAGCGTGAAAGTTTCAATAAGAAAACACATGTTAGTTGAGTGTACTACTGACTTTGTGTCTTGTATTGATTATCGAAGGCAAAGTGTTATTGATATTCGGTTAATATGAAACAGCTTATTATAGGCGAGAATTCAAGAAATTCATTTTTTCTTTTGTTTSAAGATTTCTGATATTTCATTCATTCATTCATTTACATTCACACATTTTAATAAATATTAAATCCACTAGCTTTTATGTTTAGTTGCCATGGCTAGAGGCAGGCATAGTGATAAAGAAAAAGACAAAGACAAGGAAAAAGAAAAATCAAGTGAGTCACCTTTAGACCCCAAGTATGTCTTATGGATTCTTGCAGCCATCAAAAAAGTTAAAGGTCAAAAACAACGACCTAGTGAGGACAGAATTGCACATGTCCTTGAAACAAGCTATGGTCTTAGCAAAGATGTCATTGAAGAGCAATTAGAACTTTGTGTCAAGCATGGCAAAGTCTTGAAAGTCACATTCAAAGGTCTTGCTTCATATAAAAACCCACAGTTAGTTCCTCAGCACATCCGGGGCACCATTGAAAGACCAGTGGATTTCCAGTTATACACTAAGGAGGCTTTAGAGAAAAGTGGTGAAGATGGATGTACAATGCAGACAGTGGAAAAGTATGTTCAAGAGAACTATGGTGATGTTATAGGACCAAAAATGGATATCCATGCTCATGTCAAAGGTGTACTTAAGAAGGGTTTGACAAATGGTATCTTTTTAAAGGAAGGAAGAAATTACAGGTTACCATCTCTGGTTAAGGTGACAACCATATAATAATTGCTATGCAATAAATACATTAAAGGTTAATTATTTTTACTGGCATATAGCGCRGTGGCGTGCTACACATTATAACAAGGCTACAGATATAGAAGATTACCCGAGTTACACTGGTCATGTATTATATGTTGTACACTATGTATACATATAAGAAGCTTACTCTTAATGTGAATTGTGAACTTAGTCATTCAAGAAGTACCACAATTTAGCATACCTTCGGGGTTGAGAACATTGTAAATTATTCAACCCTGTTTCAGGGTTCTTTTTGAAATGTCTGTGGAAAATGAAATATACATGTAAAATTACCAAAATGTAGTAGTTGCTCACAACTATGATGATATTATCAGTAAATGCAATAAGCACCAAATATTGCTGTGTCAAATAAKGTAACAGTTTATTTTTACACTGTAAATCCGCAAACTTCCATACATGTATATATTTAATTTCAAATTTCAAAGTAATGTAATTTTATATATATACATAAATGTTTTGACAGCCAAGAAAAAAAGCTGATCCTAGTCCCATTTGTGGGTTCTGTCTTGGTACTGTTCAGAAAAACAAGAGGGGTGAACCAGAGGAGCTGATATCTTGTTCAGATTGTGGCAATAGTGGTAAGTAATCATTTTGGATTTCGTATGAGTGGGAAACGGACGGAACTGTACTGTGACCGTAATCGTACTGTAACCAAATTCTAGTGCCCCATTGGCTCACCAAAATTGTGCAGGCCAGGTCCRGTAACTGTGCGRTAACCGTGTGGTAACTGTGTCCCACTCATACGAAATCCGCTCTATTGCATACTCTGTAGTACTATCATAGTCCTAAGGATGTAGTCTCTGTCCTCTGATATAAACACGGTCRTCAGCCAATCAGAGCACGCGTTATATATCAAAAATTTTATAATGGAAAATAGTCAATCATCTTGGAAATCTATATTTCATTGATGCCTCTCAAGAGTGAATATTACCATCAATAATCCATACCCACAATCACTTTTGGTTGTTGATTTGTTCTTTGCTGTGACAACTTTTTTTAAATAGTTAGTATATGGCCTATATGATAATCATAACAAAGTATTCGAGGRGTAAGAAGATTTTGCTTAAAAGAAGAATTTAAGGGTCAGTTCCTGGACATGACCAGCCAGAATGATTTCAGCTTGTACATTTCAAGGCTTGATGAAAGTAGGAAATAAAAGAAAAAATAAATAAATGAATTGGAAACTAGTCTGCACAAAGTCTCAAAAACCATTTGCTGTGATTTGTTACTTGTATATTAATTCTGTCAAGCTACAGAAACACACATGATATGGCAATGTTTGGGAAAGAAAGATTAGGATATTGTAATCATGCAAAATATAAATAATCTAAAACTTCCTTTGAAATAAACAAAATATTTGTAAGGAAAAAAGAAAAATCTGATGTGTGATAATTGTTACTTTCGGGAAATCAGTTGCATTTTGAAATAAAATCATAGTTGCACTATTACATTGTTGTATATTAAAAATAAGATATTATTGCACAAAACTGTTGATCTAGATAGATACCTTTGAGGTAAAATACGTAGAGTGATGTCAAAGTGATTTAAATTTAGATTAATTATAATATACTGTAGAATGTTTCAATTTCTCGTTGGTCAAAATGATCGAAGTACTAAGTAATTTTGTTAAGACATCTCTTGATTTTGGCCAGACATTGTCAGATRTCAAGCGGTTATTTTAAGCCCTGAGTGTGGGAWCTCTGTATTATGTACATGTATTGGTATGGTACAAATTATCCTAGATTGACTTCTGTAAATTAATAGGAATCACTTAGCACTTAGCTTAATATTATATTTGACTGATTGATTGATATACATTATTGAATTAATGTTGTCTGGTCACAGAAAGGTGATATCATTCAAGCTTCCACTGAAGGGGATTTTTTTACTTTAATTACTTAGAAATCCAGACAATATTTGGAATGCCTTAAYATGTTACATTATAGCATTAAGTGTAGATAAGGTTATTTTATTCAGTGCAGGTAATCTTGWCAATTAAACGCTTCAATCTATACTTTTGACATTTGCTTTTCCATGTAACCTTYCTGTCTTAGGTTTCATGATGAAAACCTTTGGAACCATACCATGTTTTTTCCAATTAGGTGTATAAATAATGTCTAACATGATGTGATATGATAACTAGGTCATCCGACATGTCTCAAGTATTCGCCTGAACTTACTGCAAGAGTAAGGTCTGAAATATGGCAGTGTATTGAGTGTAAAACATGTTCTATGTGCAAGGAGGCTGGTGAAGCTGTAAGTATTATGCACACATTTATTGTTAATGGTTAATTTAATTTTCTAATGCAGGAGTTTCTTCCATAACTATAAAATACATAACAGTCTGTATTCAAAGCTTATTTTAGTAACACATCAAAATAAAGGCATACCATCTTTGGGTACCCTGTGGAGAAAAAATGGTGGAAAAAATTGTGTTTTGTCACAACACAGGAATCCCAAGGGAAAAAAAAAGCAAAAACAGCTGAAGGTTTCCTGCAGAGGARGCTAATTACTAATTAGTTGTTTGACTTTTGCTGAAGTCCCCATCAATGACAATTCTATCCATGAAGAAATTGTCAAATAAAAATGTGAGAATGCTAGTGTGACTGAGCATGGTACAGACATGCTTATGTATCATTTTACACACATGATCAAATCAACCAGCCAATCAAAAACTAGTATAGGGCTGATTGTGTACATAGAATMCAATTTACTTTCCATTTTGTATTCAAAATTAATATTATCATTTGCATGTTGATAATCAAGGCTGCTTAAAGAGACATGGTCCACCAGCATTCATTGCGGTCATGTGTTGGATTTTTCTTATATGTAAAATGAGGTGACTTCGAATTATCCATTTGCAATCCGTTTCCATCCATTGGTTTAAAGGTCGAATCTTACAGTATCTCCATATACAGTAGTATAAAGTGATAACGAAGAGGAAGTTTCTGCTTATATTACAATGTATTTAATATATTTTCAAACATGAGCAAAAGCTAGAAAGGGATGCTGGTGGACCATGTCCCTTTAAAGTTGGATTGAGTACATTTATTCATTTATTAGTTAAGAAGTTTTTTTGTAATTTGACAAATCTTACATTGTATTAATAACTCTCTCTGTGAATAAATAATAGTTGCCTTTCTTGTTTTAGGATAATTTACTGTTTTGTGATGCTTGTGACAAAGGTTTTCACATGGAATGTTTGGATCCACCAATGGATGACATGCCAACTGGTAAGAAGAATTTSTTTTTGGAATCTTAGTGTATAATTATATACAAACATCTTGTTGTAATWAAAGTAAAAGGTAATTTACATATCSAATTAACCAGGACCAATGGTATAATAATACTGTACATATGTCATTGTAAATTGAAACAGTGTCTGTTGACAATTCGCTTTTAGTTTGCCATATATTTAACTTACAATAAATATTAATATGCAAATTTCAAGTGTGACTTGTGCGAATATTGTATACATTGCCTTCCTGTGATAATATGAATGTTGAAACCTGATATTTTTCAATCTGTGATTGATGATCAATTGTACTTTTATTGGCATAACATCTGAGGTGGGTTTGTACCTGTTAGTACAAACATTCATATACATGTACGTATGTATGATATAAACGTATAACAATGCATGGTGAAAAGGTTCCAAATTCTCAATGTTTACCAAGAAGAGATGGTGATTTAAAGACAGACAAGACAAAATAACGAAGTAAAGTTAAAACATCATGCAAAAATTCATAAGCTAGTTGACGTCTTGTTCGCGAAGACATTCCTCTTCCACACCAATTTTTAAGCCATGAACCCATGTGACTTTTCTGTTAAAGCAATTTGAATGACAAGATATTTTAATTGATATACTGCATTAATACAGCATCAAAAAAGCAAACATACAGAAATTAATCACCGACTTTTAAATGACRAATTTTGTATTAAAATTATAACGGTGATTTTATTATAATTATGCCTCTGGCAGCCAAGGAAATTGATCTGAACAACATTAAAGGGATTGACTGTGATCAGAAATATTGATACATGAATCATAAAATCATACCATAGATATGTACAAAAACATACTAGAAAAGTAGATGAATAGCTAAAGAACTAACAGGATTTCCAAGTTGACTTGTATGTTGCAATTTGTTAAACAGTATCGGTTAATTTCACTCATCTCAAGATAGCTTATTGGTTATTGAAGAGCTTCTGAGTGGCAAAATTACTGTAGTTGATTTAATTTTAAGGGCTTGTTTTACCATACTGTATATGGAATACTTACGGCAAACCTATCTGTCTATTATATTGTTTCCATTACAAAAATCATTAGTCATTTCCAGTGTATGGCAGTCATCAAGGGTATTTGAAAATTTATGAACAATGTACTAGTGCTATCCATGTCATCTTTGTTCACTTGGTTGAATTTTTTTTAAATGATTTGCACTGTTTCTACAGGGAGCTGGATCTGCTTTCTTTGCAAAACAAAGACCCCTGGTCGTAAGAAGAAGGGACAGACAGAAACACCCATTGTGACTCCACCCAGAAGGAAAATACAGCCACACTCACCTGAACATACAGCCAGTACTTCTGGGTATGCACAATGTTAAAATGCCATCACCGTCATCATTGCTATCACATGTATTATGTTCATTAATAGTCTTCTTCGCGGTTCACTGCGTCATCTTGAAAGGTAGCTGTACCTTTGCATCAGAGCGAGACAACCATTAAATAAAGTCTTYTATTTTGAGAGGGTAGCACGTAATAGTCTCTAGACTAATAAACTTGTGGCCCTCTATATATTCACTCACACTCATTACCTCAACATTCATTATTTTACTACACGACACTCCTCACAGCTAGTTTTTGACTGAGGGAGGAAAACCAGTGGACCTGGAGAAAAACCCTCGGAGCAAGGAAGAGAACCAGGCTACAAACTCAAATCACATATAGTCCCGGACCAGGAATCGAACCAGGACCACAGCGATGATAGACCGGCATTTTAACCGCTCGGCCATCCTTGCTCCAACGACCATTGAACATGCAGTGATAGAAACCTTCTTTCACACCTACAAACAATTATTCACAGGTTTCTATCACTGCACACTCAATGGTCATCTCGYTTTGATGCAAAGGCTTGGCATTTCAAGATGGCGCAGGGAATCGTGAAGGAGACTATTGTGTTACTTCATAACTGACTCACTGCTGTTCTGTGTGTTATCAGAATTGCATGAAGTCGTGAAATATTTGGAAGTTTCAAGATTTTTAAGATAGTGATTGAATAAATGGGGATCATCACCATAATCACAGTTGTAATGTAATACCAAYTGAATGTTTTTTCAGGCTCTGCCCAACACCTGGTTGTGATAGTACAGGTCATGTCACAGGAAAATTTGCAACACACAGAAGGTACCACATGCTTTAATAAGCAAAACTTCACACCATAGAGAGCATTTTCTCAAATATTTGTTTCTCACCTTTATTTTCACTTTAAAGGGCTACTTGGATGAAAATTGCGAAATATTAGAAAAGACTTGGAAATCAAATAGACCTATCCATATGGGTCTAATAATCATGAAGCAGCAGATTTCAACAAGATATTGATACAAATCCTTAATATTTTGGGCAAAAAATGTTGGAGTAGATGACGTCATCTACTCCATCCTTTTGTTCTTCCATCTTTTGAATCAAAATTTCTCTTATGTGGGATAAYTCCAAAACAAATATTTTTCYGCAATTGTTCTTAATAGATAAAAATGAGTCATATATTTCTATTGCTTGAAGTTTTGAAATAAGACCATTTTCATGCAAGTAGCACTTTAACACCTTACCAATACTAATCAATGATTAGAGTTATAAATGAACAGAGATGTACATGACTGTATTGATATGTGATACAAATTGTTCCAAGTCTTGTTTAACTGTACATAATGTGTTAGTAGTATAGGCAGACAGACYAGACAGGAGGCCAGATTCACCAGAATTAGCTGTGGCAGAACATAGTAAGTCAGAATTACAATGATTGGACTATGGTCGTAGGTCATTTACCTATCCTATGATACATGTACAGTCAATCAGTCAACCAATCACTCCAATTGTCCATCAGCTTGCCTAGTTATTCCTTTATAGGGAATTAGTCATACTGTATATCAGTTAGTTAATCAGTACATGAGTCTGTCAGTCAATTGAGGGAGTCTCTCAGTTTGTCAAGGAATCACGTTKATTTTCAGCCATTGTGAATTATACATCTTATAACTAAAATAATGATGAACCTCTTGTCTAATCAGTGTTGGGGCATGCCCTCTTGCTGCTGAGACAAAAAAGAATGAAAAAGAAAAAGCAGACAGCTTGTTAGAAACACCAACTCCTGCCTCACCTCCCCCAACACCTGCTACAGAAGAAGTGGTGAAGAAAAGACCTGGTAGACCTTCAAATATACAAAAAGAAAGAGAAAAAGTCAAAGAAAAGACAAAAGAGAAAGAAAAGCATAAAGACAAAGACAAGCACCACCATCGCCACCATCACCACCACCACCATCATCACTCTTCCCACCCAACATCACCATCACCAAGAAAACATTCCCATCTCCCACCAGGTAAGAAGTGATCATCATTGGGTCTCATATTGAACYTTTCCTCATATGAACCACTGGCTGAGCCTCAGGACAAATATGCATTGTAAGATGATGTTAACACACATTAATTAGTGTCCTACAATATAGGTGGTCAAGAAGTCGTCATACATCAGACACCTGGGGGCTTTGTGTCCCTTTTTTGATAGGCATTATAAGTGTTAAAATATCAAGTGTTCCCACCCATGTAACAGTTTTCATTTGATGTTAATGTGTACCCAAGACCAATAACCATTTGACTAGGGCGCAGATATATTAATGTTGCTAGATAGTAATAACACCCCAAATRCTGTACCTTCATTGTTACATACATAAATATTTATTATGATTTTTCTAATCAGGTGTGACTGATGCAGACTTAGCATTGTTTAAGAAAGCACAAGAAAAGTCTAATTCCAGCATGAACATGAATCCTATCCTGACTCCATCAGCYAGCTCCAGATCACCAGCAAGGATTCAATTTGGTCGCTATGAAATAACTACTTGGTATTCTTCACCATACCCACAGGAATATGCTAGGTAAAGCATRATTTGYACAAGCTGTAACAGCTGTGTACACCCACAGCCTGCATGATTACTGATTAACAACTTTAAGTCAATCCTTTGTTAAGGTTGTCAAGACATACAATCAACAAATTTGCATTTTCCTTTTTTGTTGCAAAAATATGAAATACTTTTCTCAGTAGACCTGCAGTATTTAGAGTCAAAAACTACCAATTTTTKTAAATTACAAATGCTTCCAGGAACAAGAGCTTATTATTTATACCTATTTCAAAGAAATGGAAAATTGGTGATTGACAAATAGCAATTGTCAAATGGAGAGGGAACCATGATATTTGCTAGTTGATTAGAGATATTGACTGATTTATACTGGGAGAGTCTAGTAACCATTGACTCCATTTAGTCTCCATTTTCAAACGAGGCAAACACCAAAGTGAACTGACTTTGTATGTCAGACAGTGTAAACATATTTCCCCTACCTTCAACAATCGCTATCTCTGTTCTCTACACTGTTTTTTGAGATARGTGTAGATAACCACAGACAGGTCAAATAGTAAAAGTTTCACATGTAAATTAATGACTGTTTTTGAAAACAGATTAACCAAGTTATTCTTGTGTGAATTTTGTCTAAAATACATGAAGAGTGCAAGTATTGTACAAAGACATATGGTAAGAAGATTCTATTGCTGTGCTGTGTCTGTCAGATGGACTTGGACTTATTATACATTAGTCCAGAACTGGACCCTCTTTTCTCAATTACTATAGATGATATTCCATGTAAAAGTTAAAAATCCAAAGCGCGCGCTACAGAAAGTTGAGAACGCTGATTCAAAATAATAGTTTTCAACGCACGCGCAAGGATAAAAGAGGGTCCAGTTCTGGACGARTTTTACATATATCTATTTTTTTCACATAGTAATTTTCTTCTGCTTATTTTCAGACGAAATGTGGCTGGTTTCATCCGCCAGCCAATGAGATTTACCGTAATGATGATATATCAGTATTTGAGGTTGATGGAGCTGTCAACAAGGTAAAGCCTAGACTCCTGTGAACTGGCATTTTGCATATTGCATTTGTATATGTTTTGGGTTCCCTGTGAAAAAATATAGATAGACAAGGGGGACCGCCCCCCTCCAACTAATCTTACACAGGAAGCCCGAAGACAGAACCAACAGAACCTGCCGAAGCGACCACGAGGTGTTTGTATGAAATATCGCGCAAAAACCTCATTTTACGCTATGTAACATGAATATACAACCAATCCCATTAACTTTGTTCAGTTGTAAAAACATAGAGACAAAGTCATTTGCATATATCATATTTTTTATTTCTTTCCAAGAATATTCAACATAAAGTGCCAAAAATTCTTTACAATGCCAATGACCTTTAAAATTACTTTGTTGTAATCTTTATGCCTTTAGTAAACATCTTAATGGRATGGACTGTCAAGATAATTTATATATATCATGTAACATGTACATCAATCATTGATGGAATGGACTGTCAAGATAATTGGAATTTTGACATGACATTAATGGAATGGACTGTCAAGATAATTTATATATATCATGTAACATGTACATCAATCATTGTATTATGGATWATGTTTTATCAGATMTACTGCCAAAACTTGTGTCTGTTAGCAAAACTGTTTTTGGACCATAAGACCCTGTACTATGATGTGGAACCATTCCTGTTTTATGTGCTCACTAAGAATGATAAGAAAGGATGTCATCTTGTTGGCTATTTCTCAAAGGTATAACTTAATAAATAGATTCCATTTCTACATACCTCTGTACTCTAATGCTTTACAAAATATGTATTCCTCAAAAGTTTCCCAATCGCTTTATTACTGAAACGTTTTAGCGCAAAGACAGTATAGCGTGCCCACTGGTTCTGACCAAATAGAACSCACGTAAGATTGAATGTCAGAAAAATAGTTTTTGATGATGACAACAACATAATTTTGACATGACAGTTTCGAATTCAGAGCGAATAAMCGCTGTTTTATTTGACAGCAGATTCTCTTATGCAAAGAACTTACCAAACACAAAAGAAAGCATGWGAAAATGTTGCAAGTACAATAGCGTTAACAATTTACATTTTCCACGAGTTGAGGCTAACCCTGTATTCCCAGAAGGCTCATACCTTAGGTCTTATGGGAATACAGGGTTAGTCTCAACTCGGGGAAAATGCAAACTTTCAAGGCTATTGTAATAACCACATTTTCTCATGTTTCTCGTGCTCTCTTTTGTGTTTGTAAAGTCTTTGCGCAAGAGAATCAATACATGTATTGTATATTGATGTTTTTTTTAAATATCTACAACAACGAAATATGCTTTATTATTTTCTCATTTATTGTAGGAAAAGTCATGCCAACAAAAATACAATGTATCGTGTATTATGACATTACCACCATACCAAAGACAAGGATTTGGACGATTGCTTATTGACTTTAGTAAGGACAGAACTAGAGCGATGCAAACACTAAAACCATTACAATTTATGTAATAGAGCTAAATTGTACTGAATCATGAGAGTGAGGTGAATGTACGCTTTCTGATGTGTCTATATTATTAATAGTCAGGTTTTATCACAGATTTAATGACTTCACTTTATTTTCTATTGTCTAATGTAAACTATATTGTGATTTAATATAATATGATTTATATCATTTTTTAGCACAACGATAAATAAATAATAATCCTAGAAATCCGTGATTCACAAATTAATGACATTTTAATGCGAAGATTGCTAGGTCGCATCACCTAATGATTCGTGCAAAATCAGCTAAAGTTTTCATATCAGATAAAACAAGCTACTTTCGTTTTGTACAGGCTATCTGCTTTCCAGAAAAGAGTCCCAACCAGGGTCTCCTGAGAAACCATTGTCTGACTTGGGGCTGATCAGTTATAGAAGCTACTGGAAGAGTGTCTTGATTGAATACATGAATACCAACAAAGAGAACCACATTACTATAAGAGGTATGCTTTTGAACTCACAAATAAAGTGAGTTGTGATGTTCGTAACCCTCTTTAGGGCTTMGTTTACAATGACTATAGGGATATGTTCCAAACCGCATATTTTTTCATACGTTTTCATTTGTAGGCCTATCGTACATTTAGATGAAACCATTGAAGCCCATGACCATACATATCGGCCGAATATTTATTAAAAATTACTTTAGTATGCGTGTAAACGGTCAAAACGATGGTTGTTCACTAGTTCAGACATACACCTATTTCAAAAAACGTTGTCGGGGAGAACGGTGAACGATGATGTCGAAGGGAAACTGCACGACCGAAAGGGACTATGGTTACGCTGTTTTGATAACAAAATTTTACTGGATTCACTTTGCATAAAATTGGAGACAAAATAAAACCCATTCTCACCAAAGACTATGTTACAGTATAAATCAGTTGTTCATTTTCACCAGTTAGCAACACTCATGGTTACTTTCGGTCGTGCAATCGCCGTTCGCCATTTTTTCCGACAACCTTTYTTGAAATAGCTGTATATTATAATCGATATTGCATTTTTTTGTAGGTATCAGTCAAGCCACTGGAATGGATCCCCATGATATCGCTGCTACCTTACAACTTCTTAATATGGTACAGAAAAGAGACGGGAAGTGAGTAGCAACACCTGGTGATTGACTTATGAATGAAAGATAATACTTGATAATAATGTTATTATACGAGAATGGTTGGAATGGAAACCTGTGAATTATTTATTACCGTGTCCAGCTCTATTACACTTGTAGTAGGCCCGTTTCATACGTCGTGCTATCGTCATGTCAAAGTAAATTGAYTATGTTTTTCGACCTAGATTCATTTTGTATGGCGTTGATTCATACTTTGATCCAAATAGAATTAGTCTCCTCGCAGCTGTTACGAGGCTCTTTCCCTGGTCACTCTCCCTTAGTGGGAGAGACCTGGGAACGGACGTCATAACGGCTGCGAGAGAAGACTAAATATAATAKAATGCATAAGAAAAGGTCTGATGTCATGTAATTGTGTCCACAGTTATTGTCGAAAAAAGAAACATTTGTGCATTGTGTTCGGCTTGACGATAGCTTGGCGCTTGAATCATCACGCATCGACTAGCGTTATCGTGCCACTTGGCACAGTCACGCGGGACTTAACTGATTCAGACGTCAAGGTGTTTATGTGGACAATGATTTGGTAAGGCGCGTTGGCGATTCGACGTAAGAACCAGGCCTTGGGTAAYTCTCACGACGCCATTTTCGAGAACGAAAAAAAAAAATTGGAAAAAGTGGTCAGGYGGATCCCTTTTGGGGTTTTCTTTGCAGAAAGCATGTATTTGTGTTGTACCTACAATGTATAACGAAAACGACAAAACGCACTAGGGGGAATTGGGGGATTAAGAGGAGGCCAGTTTGTATGTATATAACATAAATTGCACGGATTTATCAATGACGTGTAGCGGTTATCGTAACGAGGTTAGACTCAAAGAGAGTCCGGCAAGTCTATAACGAGGTCATCATTTGAAAATACTACTTCATCTGTAAGGTGGTTTCTGCTCCTAACAGAGCTTCATCACTTATTCCATAATGTCGTATAACGAGGTTTCATTCGTTTGAGACAGGCGAGAAAATACACAGAGAAGAATCTGAATTTATTGTTTCGGTAGCATTGATTACCAGTATTGCAGGCTTAGTTGGTTTTCTTATTGTTCTCTAGATTTGTGATAGTAACAAACCGATGCATGATAGACAAACACATGGAAAAAGTACACAAACAGAACCGAACCACTCTAGACGAGGACTGTCTGCGATGGACTCCGCTAGTGCATACCAACCTTGCCCTGATTGACGATGGAGAGAAAGCAGTGAAYGGATTAGATGGACTAGGTCGAAGAAACAGGCCAAGTGTTACTGAGCAAGATGTTGATATTGTTAATGATCAAATAGAAAATGATGTAAGTAAATTGTGATGATATATAATGAATATGAATAATAACAGGCAAAAACCTTTTCTGAACACGCATTTTTTAAGATTGTCTATTATCGTTTTTTCCTATTTCTTTTATTTATTGACAATTCCACTTCTTTYTGCTTCATGAATTTTTCCTTTTGTTGCTACCTTCTTGCACCTTATCTTAATCAGTCTCCTTTATCTCAATCTTTGTCTTTCGACAGGAAAAACCACAAGAAAATGGCGTCCTTGTGAACGGTGACGTAGATATGGCCGAAGACCAGGTTGACCAGGAAGAACCAGAAGAGGAAGAGCAAATTGTCCGACCGAGGAAAAGAAAACGCAGTGTAGCATTGTCCGACGCAGGTTCGGAGAATTCCGGCCCAGTCGAGGCTGAAGAGGAAAATAACGAAGCGGAGAACAACGAAGAGGTCGACGAGGAAGAAGACGACGACGAGACTGAAAAACATGAGCAAGAAGATGTCGAAGAGAAAGTCCCTCAAGAAGAAAAAGAGCCCGAAGAAACTCCAACGAAAAAACCTCGACCATCTACCGAAGGTTCTTCGAGTGAAGCCGAAAGCGACTCTGATGGTGACTCGGAATCCGACGACGACGACTCGTCATCKTCGTCATCTTCTTCGTCATCATCATCCTCTTCRGAAGAAAGCGACAACGATGAGAAAACGAGTACTGCTRTCAAAAAACCGACTTCGAGTGAGAATCCTCTCAACAGCGAGAACGAGTCTTCATCGTTAAATAATCCGTACAACACGGCGGGCTACCAGCCCCACAATACCTCGCAGTCGACAGGGGATCCCCTTGATTTTAAAGTTATGGATCCTTACATGATGGACTCGAGTTTTTCAAATCTTTCGTCTCTAAATTCTGAGTTAAACACGATGGATTTTCCTGATACTGATAGTAGTGCCCTTATCAAAGAACTCTCGGCCGAGGTATTTTCCATTGGAGCACCTTGTGGGAATCAAAGCCCGACTATGAGTGGTCAGCGGATGTCTGACGAAGAGGATGCGTGACGAAGTCACTCYAGTGTGGACAGTTAAAAGACAATTTTCAATATTTATTAAACMGGATGTGATCACAAAACGATATGGAGATGCAAGAAAAGATTTTTATTATGTTATTAAGTCTTTTTTTATTTTTCTTTCTTCCTTCTGTTCTTCTGTATCATGCTGTTCATGGTTCCCTTCTTGTGTTTTTTCCCCTCAGTTGTCCCCTTGTCTTACCTCATTTCTTTTTTTCTTGTCTCATTCTTTATGTTTCCTATCTATATTAAACTTTCTTTTCCTTTTCTGAAGTATATATACGTAGTTGAGTTTTTTTCTTAATTTCAGCCAGATGGTGTTAGGATCGAGTTGGTGAATTTAAATAAAAATATACTTAAACCCAAAATGTGTTTTCACATATGTTGCACCTGGTTTAGTATTGTTTCGGTTGTTTTAATTATTACATGTACTTACCACACAAATTGTGTACAATAGGGTAGACTAGAGTAGTTTTCAACAACGTGTCATACTACAGTGAGAAGTAGTACCACGAAAAGAAAAAGAAAACGTCCAAAATGAATAATTTTAGTTTTTGTTGACACACTTTTGACGTCATAAAATGTTCAAAACTCAAGTGGACACGAGCGGCAATTTGTATTTTACCACATTTTATAAAATTTTTGATATAAAACGCGCGCTCTGATTGGCTGACGAYCGTGTTTACATCAGAGGACAGAGACACGGCTTACCGGCAAAATTTTCTTTTCGCTCGAAAAATTTTATAAAAGAAATATAAAACGGCCGCTCGTGTCTCTGTCCTCTGATATAAACACGGTGAGAGTTGAAAAACACTCGAGAAGCAAGAGAAACACTCGCTACGCCCCTAAGCTTGCTTCCCTCGTGTTTTTCGAACTCCCATCGAGTTTATATCAGAGGACAGAGACGCGTGCCGTTTTATATTTCTTAAATCTAATATTAGCGAAAGTCATTCTTTTCTTTCATTCAGCGCGCGCGAGAYGTGATGATGTCAGCACAGTGTACATGTCGTCTTATTGACCAACTCTAATCAGCCAATCAGCGCGCGAAAAATTTACACAAGTGTGGTAAGTAATGTTTACAACACGGACGCTCATGTTGTAAACTATACTTACAACACTCTTCACGGTTGTGATTTCTATTGTGTTTTCCTCATTAATTATTCATGCGTTTTACAAATATATATATATTTGGTCAATAGACCAATCCCGCATTCGCTTGGATGAACACGAAACAATGGCTTCATTCCGAGGCTGGAGTTTTATCTTTTGTCGAAAACTCCAGCCTCGAAATGAAGCCATCGTTCCATGTTCATCCAAGCGAATTCGGGATTGACCTAGACAGATTCTACCTATTCTCGTACCTAGATCCATTCTCGTACCTAGATCCATTCTCGTACCTAGATAGTTTTCTAACGGAAAATTGAAGAATATGTGTACGAGAATGGATTTGTCCTTAAAAGAGTTTCTTTGTGACCAAAAGTAACTTGTTTAATTTGCACCATATAAACTTTTTTTGATGACTCGTACTGTCACTAATTACGCGGAATAATTACGCAAAAATTGTTAATGAATTCCTAGTGGCGGAAAATATATACGGGCTTACAAAAGTAAGAACTAAGATCATTTAAATAACAATCAAACTGAAATAGTTTGTTGGTAAAATTCTATCAAAAATGTTTGCTTGGAGGACGCCTTCCGTCTGTCCTTGACGGTCTATCTTAGTTCTTTAGAGTTTTTGCCCTGCATGTGGGAGGTTTTTACTGGAGACCACCATCCATCTGCGACCGTCTATCTTGGTGCTTTTGAATTTCTCCAATGTGGGACGTTTTGGCTGGAATAGAAACACGTGAAAGAGCACTCTCTTATCGCGACCTTGGTTGCCTCTACTTGATTGATGGCGGAATTTAACTCCCACATTCAACAGAGAACCTTTGTTATTTCAGTTGCTAAAATACGAAAAAGAGCCATTTTTCTATTTTGAAGCTATAAAAACTGAAGTAACTTTCAAATATCTTTATTAAAACTATTCAAACRATTAAAAAAGTGCAGGTTTATCTTAACAACATCTGCCTGGTTTTAAATAAGCATAAAATTTGATATGTTTTATTTGTTTGACATCAGATTTTCAGGAATTGTTATTTGGTAAGACTAGCTCTCAATGTGCAGATTTTAATAATAACAAATTTGCTTCTTGAAGAAATAATTTTCGTTAAAAAAAATATATAAAAAGACGACTTCAAACTATGTACAATTTATTAAAGAATTAATGAGCAAATGATTTGCATTCATCTAAATTACTTTTGCCATTCAACAAATAACAACAMTAGATGTTCAACAAAGGRTAAACTTGATCTAAAACTGGCGGCAAAACTCTAAGTTATACCTATTTTCTCAGATAATTCCCCAGATACCGTTTAGTGTATATTGAATCGCATTCGATATAGTCTGAATCAACATTCGGTTTAACAAGTTATTTTCAATTCTAGYTGTTTCATTTGAACGGAACACCAACCATGTATAAGACAAGCATGTTTTACCTCCTGTCGGGAAGACGAGATTGGTTTGTCTTAACAAAAGAACAAAACTAAAATGTTTATATAGACATGCAAATTAAAACTCCAACATGCAGAAGGTTCTCACATAAACTTCTTCATTTATAACGGAGTATTTTCAGTCATGTAACGGTAGGTAATGCTTCCCTTGTAATATTCTTGTACAATATAATGTCATCTTGTATGATCTAATAGATCTTCATGTCATTTGACTGAAAATCATTTGTATAAACTAAACTGTAGGCAATGTATCTCCTAGTTTATGCCGGAAAATATCATATAGAAACATTTTCTGCAGAACAACGAAAATCAGTCAACATTTGAAAATCGTCTTTAATTAACGAGTTACTAAATTCATCGCTTTTTAACTTCTCTTTCTTCCTCAACATCATCTTCTTCTTCCACTTCTCCTTCGGCTTCTCCTTATCGCCACCTCTTTGCCTTCTTCTTCTTCTTCTTCTTCTTCTTCTTCTTCTTCTTCTTCTTCTTCTTCTTCTTCTTCTTCTTCTCCTTCTTCTTCCTACTCCTCCTCCCTGTTGTTCTTGTTCTTCTCTATTCATTCTTCCTCATCTTATTCCTCCAACTGAGTTTTCTTCAGTTTATGATAAAATATCTAAATGTAACGTAGCATAGTGCATGTAAAGGAAAACTGAGCTAAGCTGGTTTTGAAATTTTAATGCAAAATCATAAGAAAAATTTTTCTAATTCAATCTTATTTGAGTCTATTGCTCGAAAATATTGACACAGAAGAAAAGAAAAATTGACAAAAAAATATATGCAAGATTATGATATTATGTTTAAAATGAAAATAATTAAGAAAAGAGATATCGTAACAAAATAATTTATAATTTACAAAATATGCGCCAAAATATCGAAACCTTCACCTTTGGGTCGCATTTTTATACGATTCTAAGATGTTTGAGAATAATGTCCAAATCATTTTGAATAAATTTGGGAAAAAGCGTTTTGAAAATTGTTTTCACTGTCGGCTAGATGAAAGAATCTCTAGGCCGACCCAGAGTGGGCGTTCTAAGCCGATCGGTGACCGAGAAAAAACCCTTTGTTTATATGATGTAAAGCTGTTTAATCGACCGGACTCATTGAAACAATTGATATTCGTTATCGATCACTTTGTCGTTAATCACTTTTCACTTTCCACTTCCTACTACTATATGTATGCGAAACCCAATCATCGAATATCATGCAAACCGTGAGAACCTCAAACATCTAATCTCCGTAAAAATGATACGATTCAGCAGGTATTCTGTCTCCTACCTCCCTTCRACAATTTTACGTCATCGCGTCGTCATTTGTATAGGACACCTACCGAAGTGCTAACAAAAAGATGATTTTGCATCTTTATAATGGAAAAAAACCTGATTGAGGACACGGTCAATAAATTAATCAATGGAATCTTTATCAGCCCCTTTCATAATAAGACCTTACAGCAAAAACCCTTGCATCGCGACCTCAAGTTTTTGATGCTCAATTAGATTTTGGGATTTGCTGCGACTTCGTGAGAGTTTTGTCAGCTTTTTCAAAAAACGTTGAATAATGAAGATAGTGTATTCCGAAACCGAAATGCATTGTTGGATGTTTTATCGCCATAGGCTATTTCTGAGATAGCAGTTTGCATTGCATTTTGGTCTAGGAGGGTCTCAATGGGGTGGTACGCATCACGACTCACGGCTTGAAATTTGGAGATTTCACGGCTCACGACTAATGTTTTCTAATCACGGTTAACTAGATTACTTTTAGAAATTTTTGAATTGCGTTTTTCATTGTTTTTTTCTTTTTTCGTATGAATAGACTGCGTGACTTATTCGGACATGGATTTTTCTATTTCAAATAAGCCGAAATGCGACTATTTCCGAGAAAAAAAGATTAATCATAAATTCATAATACACAAAAAAATCCAANTAGTAAATGTTGTTTAAACTTCTTGCTAAAGTTTACAAACATCTTTGTTCAAATTTCAAAATTCCTAGGTTGCAATACTATAGACTTTGCTGTAATATCAGGTTTAATAGCAAAGTTATAATGCTGCAAAATGTTTTACGAGATTTTATATTTTCGTCATTTATTTTCCAGATAATTTCCATAGAAGTAATCAAAGGAATGTTCACAAGCTATTAAGAGGAGTAACATATGATAAGGAAAAATGGCCGAAACAATGGAAAGTCTTCAGCGTTGTATTACTTACAACAGGAATAGAAAGCACCACGAAGCCATACGGAGCGGTAAGGATTGCTTGGTCATGGCTATCAAAATAGGYGACAGAAAAACGGAAATGAAAGTGACGTACGAATTGTGCTTTGCGAGCTATCATGTAGGTCAATACAACAATGCTATCATGTATGGAAATCAATGCCTTGCAATAGCAATGGAAGTTGACGAGAAAATCTTCAAAATAAAGACAAGTTTRATGCTCTGTCGTTCTCACTTTCACGCAGGACATTTTTCTGAGAGTATTGGTTGCGGTAGAARGTCAATTGATCTCACGAAAGATGGTGAATTGAAAGCCTTCGAGATGGATGCATATTCTATGCTATGCCGCGCTCATTATCGCTTGGGACAGTATCAAGACGCGAYTGATTGTGGGAATAAAGCCCTAAATATAGCCCAGGAACTTCRAGATAAAACCTCTGAAATGAAGATATCTTTAATACTATGCCGTGTTCATAAGCATTTTCGAAAGTATAACAATGCTATTCAGCACGGAAAGAATGCATTAGTARCGGCCAAGAGGACTGGAGAGAAAGTATGTCAAATGAAGGCGTGCATCAAGCTGTGTTGCGCGTATTATCAGCTGAGACAGTACGATGATGCTATTGAATATGGTACAAGCTGTCTTGAATTAGCCCAACATCTTCGCTCTGGTAATTCTACTTTCAGTGCCAGTTTGATGCTAAGTCGATGCTACAATAAACTGAAAAAGTATAACGACACCATTGCGCATGATCRGATTGATGGAGAGGAACAAAAAGAAACCAAAATGGAGACTTTTACAATTTTGGCAAATGTATTTGCTCTATTGAATCAGTTTGATGAAGCRTTCAAGTTTGCGACGAGCGTTCTCGAAATAGCAAAGCAAATTCGCGAAGAGCCTGAGAAAGAGAAGGACGCCTGCCTTCTGGTGTGTAAAATACACAAGCTTCTGATGACAAACGGCGGTGCAGATAACAGAAACATTTATCTGAAAAACGTTGTTAAAAAACACGCTGAAGCTATCATACACGGTTATCATAAAACAACTAATGACAATTACATTATCAAAGATAGTAATAATAATAGAGTGTGACTATGGATGAAAAGATTTAWTGATTTCTGCAGCGCAAATTCAACCCTTACAAATATACTTTACAATAGCAGAACGGAGTCCAAAATGTTAGTTGTACCTTATTCGTACTAACTTTCGCGAGGCTTCAATTTCGCGATTTTCGCGATGTAAAGCAAACCGCGTTAAAACCTGGCGAAAAAAGGGATCCGCGAAAATTAAAYGCGCGATATTTAATACACTTGTAATTGCTTTAATCTTTTAACTTCTTTTCATGAAAGTCTTGATTGTAAATCGATTATTGTTTAAGTTATCATTCAATGAAAAAGGATTTTTAAGTCTCTCTGTCCTATTTTTCAATTTTCGCGAAATTAAGTGCACTAAATTTAACCTTTTTTTCAAAATCGCAAAATTTAATGCTCGCGAAATATTTGTTTCAAATTCGCGAAATTAAGTGCTCGCGAAAATTAGAATATGAGCGCATATAAATGCATGTTCATTCCAATATTCTTTTTTGGTTATCAGCATGGGGGGGAAGGGGGGGGGGGGGCACCCAACAAAAACCATGTTACAGGAGAACATGCAAAATTTTTATCCTATATTACTTGTATATTCAATACAACTTATTTCTTAATAAAAATCGAAAGAGTGGGGGTTGTAAAAACTGTATCCACCTACGGGGGGCAGCATTTTTTTTCCGAGAAAGTTTCAAAAACCAAACCCCCTCCCGATAAAAGATGAACGGTCCTTTTAGGGTGATAAACTCCAGTTGAAATCAGCGTACATCTAACGATTCTGATCGATTCTGATTCTATGGCTTTTTTATCAAAATTTGTTGATATATATTTTTCATGGGTTCCCCGAGAAGGGAATTGAACGAGTAGCACTGAGGACGAGGTTGCAATCTCTCGATCCCAGGATTTGGGATTATCCCAGGCTGTCGAATTCTGTCACAGCTGCGAATCTTTCATAGTCACAAGGAGCAAAGTGATTGAGAATCTGTTTTCACGCTTCAATATCACGGAGATATAGAGTCAAAATGAGTTTTAATTCGCTATTGAAACATAAGCTGGCTAAGAGTAAGGTATGTAAAAAGTAATGTTTTTTTAGGTCAGTGCAGCGAGAATGACACAGGACTGATTGTCTTTTACGTATGTTGTTCACTTTGTCGATAGAGTCATTTT